AGGCGGTAGCTGATGGGCGCGGCGGGCGGCAGCGACACGGCATGCGCAGAGTTGGGCGACGTGATCTCGAAAGTCGGCACCTGCGTGGCCAGCGAGTAGTGGAAGTCCACGGGCGAGAGGCGCGCGGGCGTGGTCAGGGCCGACACGTACCTGCGGGAGAGACAGAAGCGTGGGTCGGGGAATCTGGGTGCAGGGCCAAGAGATGCCAACCAGAAAGGACCCTCTCCGTAAGAGTGAAGGCTGTGGCTGTGACCACATTCAGTTTCCATGATCCCTCCCAGCCTGTTTTCGTCTGTTAACCATAGATAATTATAGTGTTTACTGCAGTGTGATGCTGGACGATTTAGGAAATGTACTAGGGAAGTACCCTAGCTCAGTGTCTGTTTTCGATAAGCATCCGTAAGTGGTCATTTGTTGTAGGGATGCTCACAGTGTCCGGGGCATGCTTAGCTTGGGGTATTTTACGTGTGGTCTCATCTATTCTGGAGAATTTGTGGGTGAGGGCCATACTACACGGGAAAAAGAGACTCAGACATTTAAGTGCCAAGGACGTAATGACCAAGATGTGGCCTGATCCATTCTACATAACAACCAAGATGTGGCCTGATAAACTAACTCCCTGTTTCACCAACACTCCACTAGGTGTCTCTTCTTGGAGCGAATGACTCCCAGGTCCACGAAGGCCTGTTTTCGCTAATTCCTACCAGTGTGAATCCAGGTTAGGCAGAAACCAGTAAGCCTAATTCCAGGAACCACTAGCCACCATCCAGAGACTGCCTGGATTTGAGCTCACTGCCCTTGCACGGAAGGTTTATCCCAGGGCTTGGCTTGAGTGAGGGAAATGACATCTTGTATTGAAGCAAAAAAAAAAAAAAAAACGGCCACAGGGAAGTGACACTGGGTGGGCTCCTCAAGCCAGGGCAGACAGATACCAAGATAACGATAACACGGATCTCTACTCCCCTTACTTCCTTGAAAAGTTTGCTTTTGGTAATATATCCCCAGATGTTCCTTTTTGCTCTTCACAGACCCCTGTGATCCTTCAGCCGCCACCATTGTCCGCTTCAGGACAGGGATCACTCACCACCATGCCTTTCTTCCAGACTGCTCTGCCAGGTGCCTGACTGCTCTCTGGAACTGGCTCAGAGTCCTTCTTACTCTCTTACAGAACCAGTGGACTGCCCCTCTCCCCCTTCCCACATGCAGATCTAATTAGCTGCTAAGTCCTACTCACTCCTTCTCATGAGGCGCACTCTCCAGCCTGGGCCAGATGTTCTTTCTGGTCCTGCCACCACCGTGGGGTCTCTTTCACTCTAGGAAGCTCCCAGAGCAAACAAAACAAAACTACCCCCCTTCCAACCAAAACCAAACTAACCAAACCTCAGCTCTGCTAAGGACGCCCTTCCTATATATCCACCCAGGCTCCACCTCCCAAGCAAGCAGAAGCCAAGGGCCCTTGGTCTATCTCTGGCCCCAGCCTGCCTGTTGAGCTCCATGACTCCTCACAGCCCACTCTGTTTCTCTTCAGCGTGCTCTTAAGTGTTTCTCTTAGAACAGCTGCAGCGATACACCATGTCTGCAAAGCTTCCCTTCCTCATCTCCCTGCCGATGGTCTCCCCACTACCTAGTGCCAGGGTTACCACTGATGACAATAGAGACAGGCGTGAATGAGGCAGAACTCGGTACATTATCTTGGGGTCCTTTACGAGCTCCATGTGCAGCAGGTAATGTTTCCCCCATGTACACTGAAGGAACACATTTTGAGGCACCTGCCCCAGATCATGCAGAGAGCGGTGGGGCTGGGCTTGGAGAAGAAAATCTGGGTGCTTCTTGGAGCCTGTAGCTGGAGCGGGTTTCTCTGCCCTACTGTGGCGTCTGTGCTTAGCACTTGTGAAAACTGCCGAGCATGCCAGTGGTTTGTCCCTGGCTTGGAATAAGAGCAGGTAGGCCATCTCTGGTATGCTTGATCAGCCCAGGCCGGACATAGAGTCATTTGAGTCATAAAGAGGTAGAATTTGCCCCGTCCTGGAGCCTCTCCTGACATGGTGTGCCTTCCTCTGCTTTCCTCTCACAGACCTAGCTTGCCTAACAGCCACTGGGAAGGGGATCAGGATGAGGTCTAGTTCCCAGGACTCCTGATGTGGAGACAGGAAAGAAGGGAGTTTCTTTAGTTCGTGTGTGTGTGTGTGTGTGTGTGTGTGTGTGTGTGTGTGTGTGTGCGCGTGTGTGAACATGTGTGCCACAGCATGTGTATGGAGGGCAGAGGACAACTTGTGGGAGCTGGCTCTTTCCTTCCACATTGTGGGTTCTAGGAATTAAACTTAGACCACCAGGCTTGGTGGACAAGCTTATTTGCTACTGAGCAGTCTTGCCAGCCCCAGGGAAAAAGACATTTCCTGGTTCTTACTTTATCGACTTCTCAGGATCCCAGCAATGCCCTGGGCACTGGGACCCTTATGCTGCCGCTGACAGACCCTGAGGTCATTCTTGGCTTATGTCCTTGTCCTCGGGTCAATGCCCTTGAAAGTGACCTCTTTTCTCAGCCTCGAGTCTCCTTGATCTTGGTGTCTTTCTGTTTCTGTTGAGATGTGAGGTCTTTAGGTGATACTGGGAATCAGACAACCTTGGTCCTGGATGTGTGGATAGTCCTGTTTGCCCCCATGCTCCAGTATGGTTATTAATGTTCCCTAATGGGACAAACTATGTGGTCACTCTAGCCAGGATCTATTGAGCTAGATACAATTCTAATCCCAGGAGACCACTTAACTTTCTGAGACCTTGTCTGCCCAACAGAAATACTGAATGAGGCTCCTGGCAACGCCTCTGAGGCACCCGAAGGGTCAGCTTTGGGTTGGCAGTGGCAGCTTTCTAGCCCAGGAGGGGTTCAGTCAAGGAAGGGGTAGTAGGAACTGACCTCTCACTGTGTGGAGAGTCACGCAGGGAGTCTATGGAGTCATGGTAGGGTGGCATGGCAGCCCTGCGCCGTTCCTCCTGGCTGTAGGCTGCCGCCCTCCGTGCCCGCGCCTCCACACATGCCGGGCTGTTGCACTTGCTGGTGCCCACCGACGACAGCATGATGCCCGACTGGGAATCCGAGGTCAGGCTCTCCGAGCGTTCCAGGCTCCACGTGTGGCTCTCATGTCTGGGAAAACCAGATAGGCATGAGTTGGTAGGTGAGGAAGGGCAGGCTGTCCTAACGCAGGTGTGTGGTCCCATGGCCACCCTGCCCTGGGTTCTTCATCCCATCTGTGTGTCCCTTCAGTCACTGTCCTCTCCACTCTCGGGTGATGTGGAGTGTCACAGGTCTTCAGCCCTGGCAGTGGGAGAAGCAAGGCTGGGATCCTGGGGTGTAGAGGCTCTTTTTCTCCTGTCACCAACGCCCCCCAGCTGGGACGCTTCCACCCCCACGTTCCTTATCCATCCCTCAGGATCCCAGCCTCAGTGGCCAATAGCAAGGCCTCTGATTATTGCACGGCGCTACCCACGGACGGAGGGCCCAGCCCTGTTATTTTTCCAGCTGTAGGGATTACTGATGTGCTTGTGCAGACAGGTTGCCCCAGTCCTGGAGAGTCGGGTGGGCTGTGGTCGGTGTGCGAACACAAGAGAAGATACCAACTAGCTGTGGAGGGCTGAGTGACAAATGACAGGAGTTAGCAGGCCCTGGTGCCGCTCACCTGTGGCTGGAGGTGGGCGTGGCCGTGGAGCAGTGGTGAGAAGGTGAGCAGGAGCGGCTCCCAGAGAACGTGGTCTCAGTTTCCATCCGGATCACGTGGTCTGTGGCTGGCACATTTTTGGAGATGTACTGGGAAAACAGACAGGAAGTTGGGAGGAGTTAGTGATGGAGACTAGAGAGGCTTCCTTTCCTGGTAGGGAGGGTAAGGGATGAGCACTGAGTGGGTTAAGGGGTGACCCACTGGGTGAGCTGTGACTTGATGTTGGGTCAGGGATGGCCCCAGACAATCGCCGCCCCCCTCAATTCTTCCTTATGGAAATGAGCAGAGTAAAGCCAGGTCCCCGGTGAGGTGGTGCCTGGCACACAGGACTGACTCCTCATAGCTTGAGTGGCATCCACCCTGGCCCATCCCTGCAGCCAGAGAAGGTAGCTGTCCAGCAAGAGCTAAGAGCGGGGCAGGTCTGGGAACACCACTCACATCTGCCATCTGGATCTCCTCAGGGTCCAGCCGAGGGTGGCTGGGCCCATTGGCCAGGCTCCGGTTCTGGTGGGCTGGACACATGTTCTGCCGGAGATGGTTATGCATCTGCCTCCGCTGTTTTCTGCACAGGAGAAGGGTAGGTGAGCCTGGCATAGCTCCCTTAAAGGGATGAAATACCCTGGCTCTCCTTCCAGGGAGTTGGGCAATGCACAGAACCCTATTGCTTTGTACTGTGTGGCCTTGGGCAAGTTCTAGAAGTTCATGAGGACATTCCACTTCCTCCACCTGTAGTTTAGAACCCCTTACGACCCCAAAGACCACTGACCATAAAAAGCCCATCAGTGACTCTCACACTGTGCTAGCCCCTCCCTCCCTTCCTCCCTCCCCCTTCCCCCTCCCTCCTTCATTTGCTTAGTAATTGTTTTTACTGTGTTCCAGACACTGCTTTGGAACAGATGAGGTAAACATGGCCCATGCTTCAAGCAGCCTGGGGGCCAGTAGGGGAGCTGGACAGTAAATACACAAGTCCATGAACAGTCAGTTTCAGTGAAGTTTTACAAAGAAAATAAAACAGAATGCTATGACTCAGGAGCCAGGCCCGCGGGACTCCCGTATACTGACACATAATAAATGCTCAGGAAATTATATTATCATATGCAACTGTAATTATATCACTCCTATGGCTCAAACCCTTCCCGGCCTTCAGCATTCCATTTTTCTCCCCAGCCTTGTCTCTTGCTGCCACCCTCTACCCAGCTGGCTGCTTCCGGGGACAGCATGCTTCTGATCCTGAGTGCTCTGCCCTGCGCTCCAGCCTCTTCACCCGCTCCTGTCCTCTCTCCTTAGGCCCTCCCTTGAATGCCACTTCCTAGGCCAAGCCCTTCTGCTCTCCCGCTGAGGATAGGGGCTTCAGAAATGGATCTTGCTGGCCAGATACAGTGGAGGCAGGGGGATTTCTTTGGATCCCAGGGCAGCCAGGGCTATACAGTGATGTGGAGTGCCCTGCCTCAAAACAAACATGCTTGGAGCCCAGTCACAAGCCTGGGGCCGGGCCTAGTGTGAGCACCACTGCAGAGCTTACTTAAGTGTTAGCTTACTACAGTCGTGAGTAAATGCAGGACCCAGAACTGGTGCTTCTTTCCTCAGTTCGGGGACTCGACTTTCTTGGGCTGAGTCCCAACCCCCTCCTTACTTCCCAGCCTTTCTGGTTCTGGTCCCATCCAAGATTGGGTCAGTGGGACCTTAGATCCCATCTGTAGGGCAGCAGGAGTCCAGACCCAGAGACTCAGTCTCTGAAATGGTAACTCTGCCTAGGCTCACGTTCTGGATCCAAACACGTTGCACCACCTCACTCTACAGTCTTCGTTGGCTCCACACCATCTGGAGCCTGGCACCAAGGTTTTATGGAGGCACCTGAATCCCAGATATCTTTAGTTTCTGCCCAGTCTTTCCGACCCTGGCTTTTTGCTCTGAGCAGTCTGGGCTGCCCTCTCTCGCTTGTCTTTCCGTTTGTCCTCTTCGGCATGACCTTATCAGCTTCCCCAGCAGCTTGCCCTGAGATAGCCCAATCTCTCCCCCTGTGTGCTCCTTTTGCAGTACCTCCAGCGTGGGGTGCACGGTGCTGTCGAGGCACCTGTTAGTCTCGGGAGGGCAGGCTTCGCTGCACATCTTCCTTCCCAGCATGGCCCAGGGCCTCGCCCACCAGCACTCCAGCCCCTACCCATCTGAATTATAAGGGTAACTATGTCACTCCTATGACTTAAACCCTTCCCCTGGCCTTTAGTGCCCCATTTTTCTCCCCCAGACTTGTCCCTTGCTGTGAGAGCCTGCAAAGGGCAGCTGGGAGCTCCAGTGAGGCCACTGCAATGTCCTTTGAGGTGCACACTAGACTCATCATTACGAGGACTTGGAGAAGGGTCCTCAGTTTTCTCAAGGCCCTGCAGGAGATAGCAGCGTTGGGTTTGAACCAAGACTTGCCTGTCACTTTGCCTGTCACTTGGTGCTACAGCTGCAGAGTCCCTGAGACTACTGGGGACAGGAAGCTGTAGGCTCTCAGGCTGGGCACAGTGGGTCCAGGGAGAGAGTGTGTTCTCACAAGGATATATTGGAGCCCCACCCGCCGGGCTTGGCCCGTTCTGGGCTTGAGCATGTAACACTCACTTGGTCTTGCAGTAGGCGACCACACAGACGATGCCCACGACCAGCAGAGCCACACAGATGCCAGTAATGGTCAGGACTCTCTTCTGGTACAGCTCCTCAGCCTCTGCGGGGCAGAGCAGGAACAGAGCCCATGGAGACGCTTGTACAGAACCTCCCTGTCCCCAAGCTGTGGGCCCCCTCAGCACAGGATCTGTCCCTCTCCTTCCAGCCCTTCCCCTTGCCTGCTCTTAGACTGACTTTGCCTCCCCTCAGACGCCCCCTCCACCTGCTCACCCCCTCCCCAAGCCCATATCTTCCCAATGCACATGAGTGGAAAATGCAAGGGACGGAGGGGATGGAGTAGGGGTGAAGTCCCGAGGCCACAGGAGAGGGGAGGCAACACCTTGACCAGCACCCCTGCCCTGCTTCATGGCGGCCCAGCAGAGGGTTGTGTTCTTCATGGCAATGACAGGGACCTGGAGCAAAGGCCTTGCTCAGGCACCCCGATTCCCTAAGAATTGGTTGGTGATAGGGTATCGGGCCCGGATTCGGGAGGTGCTAGGGCCAGGAGCAGGGACACAGCAGACTGGGCCTGGCGAGGGTGTGGAAAGAAAGGCCTTTCTCCATTCCCACAGCCTGGTCAGGGTCGTGCCTTGGCTCACAGGACCTTGTCGTCTGCTGGTGGCAGTGCAGCCCCCGCCTGGCATGTAGGGGTGTCCTTGTGCACAAGGAACGAGCCCCACCTTTACTAACGAGCCAGGCGAGGCTGGGCCCATCTGCTCCGTCTTCCCTCTGTGCCTGGTGTGGCCACCCCTGCCCCTCTAAGACAGAGAAAGCCAGGAGGAAGACGAGGAAAAGCCAAGGCTGTGTCACAGAGAGCCCACCCTACTCAGAGCTGCTGGCTGGCACTGCCACCTGCCCCTGCTCCCAGTTCAGTGAGAAGTGGGGGCAGGCCCTCCGTGATTGGCAGAGCTCTGAGAAATGTCCCTGATCCCTCAGATTTACGTCACCTCCTGTGTATACAAGCAACCTCAGAGCTACAAACCCTCCGGGCACTCACATACCCGAGCTTTGGCTCCTGGAGTCACAGACGTGCCTTTCACACAGACACTCATACATGTGAATCTTCACACACAGCTGATCACATGCTCCAGAAATGGGCAACCGTGCATGCCCAAGCACTCTGAGTTACATTCAGGCAGAGCTTAACCAATCTCTGTCCCAGCGGGCTTTACTCTGTTCATCTACCAGTTCTTCCCAGCAAGTGTCTCCATCACTTCTTGGAGACCATTCTAGTCACAGTTACAAACAGCTTCCACTGGCCGGGCTTTGATGGCACATGCCTTTAATCCCAGCACTCGGGAGGCAGAGGTGAGTGGATCTCTGTGAGTTCAAGGCCAGCCTGGTCTACAGAGTGAGTTCCAAGACAGGCTCCAAAGCTACACAAGAAACCCTGTCTCAAAAAAACAAACAAAAACACGCCCCCCCCCCCAATCCAAAACAAACAGCTTCAACATTATCAAGTCCTCTGGCACTTGACCCCTTCCTCCAAGGCCTGGTGCCCTAGAACTTTGGTGGTGAACGGCTCCTCTGTGGGTTGAACTTTCTGCAATGGCTGCTTTCTTCTCTTAACCAAACGAGCCCAGGCTTCCCAGGCCTCTTTCTTTCCTCCACTCTTTCTTGGCATCATCTAGACAGACCTACAGGTCCTACAGGTATGCACTCCCCATCTCCATCTCCTGCTCTGATTTCTCCCTGTTTCTTGGCTCAATACGCATGAGCCATGACCAGCCAAACCACTGGCCAGCTGAACCACTGGTTCCCTAGCTTTCTGCACCCCTGCTTGTCTGTTTCTTTAGTGAGGCCTCTCTTCCCACCTCCATCCAAAAGTCACCCCAGCTTTGCTTTCCAAGTGAGTCATGGATCTGACCGCAGCGAACATTTTCGCTGCTGCCTTTCCAGTCCAGGAGGGGGCCCCCCTCCACTAGAGATGGCCACCTTCTGACAGGCCTTTCTGCTTCCGCTCCTCCGAACCCTGACTCATCCCCATGCTCCATAGACACCGGTCACAATGCAGCTCATTCTAGTCTGCTGCTCAGAAACAATGGCTTCTCATTGCAAGTATAAAACCCAAGGGCTCCCAGTATCTTCAAGGCCCCTGATTACCCAGTTTCCATTTGGAGCTTATCTGTGGCCTGTTGTGCTTGGAGCTGGCTGAAGCATCTCTGTCCACGGAATAAGACAAGCCTATAGATACTGTGTCCCCTGCCTTCAATTCTCTCCCCGGTTGTTTGGAGGGCTAGCTACCAGCTGGACCACGCAGAACAAACTTGATCTTTAGTCACAGTAGCTCTCTAGTGCAGTCCAGCCAAACCCGCGCCGCTGCCCGCCCTGCCCTCCCAGCTCACTTCCTTCCTTCCTTCCTTCCTTCCTTCCTTCCTTCCTTCCTTCCTTCCTTCCTTCCTTCCTTCCTTCCTTCCTTCCTTTTTC